GTTCTGCATCTCACTGTTATCAGCTGAAGGTGACCTGACCTGGGATGGACTGTGCCCTCCTGTCTCTCCTCCTCCTTGGATCAGGGATTTGTCAGGGATGTCTTCTTGTGGCAATGTTAGATACCCCGGAGGCATGAGGCCTCTGAGGCAGGGCTCAGAACTGACACACTGCCACATCCTCCCACATGCCATCGACCAGAGCAAGTCATATGGCCAACTGGAGCCAAAAAGTGGGGAAATAAATTCCTTCTGGGATGAGGCTGTGGCAAGGGTATGGATGCAGGGAGTGGGAAATAATCTGGACCAAAGACTCAATTTCCCACCCCACCCGCCTGCAATTAGGACTTAATAAATGGAGTCAGGAGTGGATTGTCCCAGTCCAGCAGAGATCTTTCCCTGGCCAAGAATTATTTAATGACTAGCAGTGTTCTTCCATACCTGGGTGTGGGCCCAGCTTTGTCCTGAATGCCATGGGGGGCATCAGAAGAACAGGGAAAAGCCCCAGTTTTACCTTCTGGAGCTCTGTTCCCTGAGGGTTAAGACTTGTGTTCCAAGACAAGATGGAGATGAGACAATGTTCAGTGGTGTAATGCTGACTGCAGAGCTCACAGAAAGAAACCAGCAAAGGCTAGGAAAGAACTACATGGGAGAAGAGGAATGACACTAGCAACTGGCATGCAGGGAGCGCTTGCTGCAGGCCACACGCTGAGCCCAATTCCTTCCACACCTTACTTCCTCATAACCATCCTGAGAGGTACCAGGATTGTCCTCCACTTGAGAGGTGAAGCAACAGGCACAAAGATCTTGTGTGACTTGCCTGTGGTCACACAGCTGGTAAATGCTGGCACCAGCATTTGATGACCAGAGCCTAAGCGTTAATCACTAGGTCCATGGTGGAACACCCAAGGGGAAGGGGAACAGCAAAAGTACAGACAGATGTGCAGAGGGCTCAGCTGCCAGGGGGCTGGAGCAGCAGAGAGGACTTCAGCCATGTTACGAACTATAAATGGGAGCAGAGATAGGATGTGCGATTTGGCCAAGGTCCTGAAGCAAGATAGGGTGGAGGCTGGGCTAGAAATCCTAGCTGTTGGCTCCTGTTTCCCTCTCCTTCCACTTTCCTTGGTACCAGCCACATTCTGGGCACTCTCCACCCGTCTGCGTGGCCACGCCTGAATCGTTTCCCTCTTGGAAGAGGTGCAATCCACTGGCATTGAAGCTGGGTGGACTGGCTCCCTCTCTCTATCCATCTCTTTCTTCCTTTCCCCTGCCATGTTCTGGAAAGGGCAGCGGGAGAGAATGTGGGCAGGTTGCACCAGAGATATACATCTGAGAGCTGAAGGGAACATTTATTTTTAATTTAGACTTAAAAAGAAAAAAGGAAGTTATAAAATATCTGCTCTTGCTCCTGGGATTGTGCAGATGGTGCTGCATTTTGCCTAATAGGGAATGGGGCTGGCATCCTCGTGCTTTTGGTCCCCGCCTGACTGTAGGGACCTGGAGGGCAGGATCCCTGCTTCCCTGCCTCAGCCTCACATGGCCCCCTAAGGCTCCGTTTGGCCGGTGCAGCTCAGTGCTCCCTGTCTTCTAACTTCAGCCTCTCCAGACTCTCTTCTGGGCTCCCAAACCTCCTCTGCAGTCAGACCAGTCTCTCCACTGTCTCAGCTGTCCCTGCTCCTGTGTCTGCACCCCCTCGACTCACTCCTACCTCCGCCTTCATTAGATAGCTGGGACACACTCATCCCTCCTTTCCTGAACTCCTGTTTGAATGTTAAAATTTATCAACTTTACTCACACCCAAATACTTCATTAAATCATCTTGTCATTTTCAAGCCTAGGTGTTACAAAGGATGTTCTCCTACATTTTCTTGTCTGGTTTTTGATTTTATTGTGGTTAAGGAGTGTGTGTGTGTGTGTGTGTGTGTGTGTGTGCACGCGCACGCGCACATGCGCACTCATTCCTCTTCTCTGACATTCTCCATTGGGAACAGCAAATAACCTGGTACACAGAAGAAGCTCCCCATAAATGGATGTGGAGTGCTGACTGGATCCCCTCTCTCTCTGTGCTCAGGGGGATGAGCTGGAAAAGGAACACCCTAAAATCAGTCAAGGCCCCCAAGCCAGGAACCAGGAGACCTGATTTTCTAGATTGCAGTGAAGCCATGGACAGATTGCTGAATTTCTCTAAGCCTCAGTTGTCCCATTTGCAAATTATCAAAAGTAATCTCTGCTTCGATCCCCAGGGTTAATATGAGGATTATGGTAAGTGAAATGCTTGGCAAAATCAATCAGTCAGTCCATCTCTTTAAGAAAGAATGCGGATACTTATAAGAGTTAGGGGTGCCAGCATGCACCCAACATCCATGTTAGGGCAGGAGGTTGGGGTAGGAGATGGGGGTTATCCAACAAAGTAAAAAGCTCGCTGGTCACAGAGTTATGGGCAATGTGTGTGTGTGTGTGTGAGTGGTACATAGCCCGGTTACTAGTTTAGTTTAGACCTCCAGTTTGTTCTGGAAAAGACTCGATGTCACTTTTAAAAATGCATGCCACTGGGCCGGGCGCGGTGGCTCAAGCCTGTAATCCCAGCACTTTGGGAGGCCGAGGCGGGTGGATCACGAGGTCAAGAGATCGAGACCATCCTGGTCAACACGGTGAAACCCT